ATATTCATATCATAGTGAATATTCATATAGTCTGAAACACATCAGTTCATATAGATACATATACAGTATTCATTGCCGCAGGTATATATATATATACCTGCAGCGTCGAACAGCACTTTGAAATGGGATGGAACCACGGCAGACTGTCCAAACTGGATTTGAACGGGTCCACCCCGTCGCCCCCTCCCCCACCCCGTCCCCAGAACTACACATGCTGGCTATTGTGTTTCGCAACATGTTCTCTATCTATGGCACGTCTCTACTGGGAGTTGTAGTTTTAAAAGACTTTTTCGTATTTCCCATAATAAGAAGTTGCCAGTATTAAACTGTGTACATCCCTGGAGGTTTAGGGGATAGGAAACACTCACATTTAAAACATATAATTAATAAATGGGTGAAAATTGCTTGTGCCCATAATGGGCAGCATTAATATATATACCCACATACCAGCTAAGGTCAGAAGAGCTTTATTTAACAGCTGGTCTTATGTCTGTGACCCCTCCTGTTGTTCATTGATAAGCCTGAAACATGCACTTGTCAAGGTTCAGAGGCAAACTTTGCAAATATGGCAGTAGCCATCGATCATCTTAAGATAAGATATACTTTATTGATCCCAAGTTGGAAACATTTGCGTTACATCAGCATGTGTAACAGTTGTAAATATGCAGTGGTGTTTATTTGTAAATCATTTAGTATAATCACACAAATTCTGTGTTTTATATTCAACAATTCTGTGTTCTTTATTTATTGATTGTTCAATACCTGACAAGGTCGGAGATGAAGAACTTGGGTCGCAGATTCCTCAACAGTGCATTACAAGACATCTATCAATATGTGTGTATACCTCCACCATTAAACTGTCATTCTGCACATTTCTTATACTATCTACATACATCTTATAAGAGTATAATACATATGTATAATATCAGTTAAAATAAGTGCTTAAACATACAGTAGTTAACATTGCAGGAAAGCAATATATTAGTACTTTGTCAGGCTTAATATTTATACCCCCAAGCTTTTTTCTTATTCAAAATAAGACCTTAACCTAAAGTATTATTTAATGTTTAAATAAAGCCTTATTATTTTGTCTGTCTGTGTCTCCTATTAATATCTAATAATAAAAATAATACATTTCAATAACATGCTTTAACCACCAGGTGTCCCTTTCTATCAGCTGTGCACCGTTATGGTGTAAATATACCAATATACCGATTGGATCAAATATAAAAGTCAGCCGAATTAGTATTGATACTGCAAGGAGACTTATTGTGTGAAGAGAAATTGAAGATGTTGTTTAATTGCTGATATATTTATGATCCATGTCACGTTTTCAGTTTTGGCGGCAGTTGTTCCTGTTTGTCTAGAAGTCTTCTCATCAGGGCTCTATAAATAGAGAACTACGGCAGATGTGTAATATTCAATGCAGCCGAACTGTGTATTACAATGCCGTTATGTGATGACCTCCAAAGAGAAAAGCAAGTAAACTCGGAATAAAGTATTATTTATTTATTTTTCAAATGTTTTCGGATTTCACATCAACAGGAAGTCCGGTTTACTAAAATGTCCGTGCGGAACAATACCCCAACCCATAGATCCGTGGGTGAATAATGTCAATCACCACATTACACACATCCCTTCACATTTACATTTGAATTTACATTAAAGTATTTGGTGAGGCCTTCTAAAATGTTTTTAAATATAATTAGGGTTGTAGTTGAAGAGTTTGTAAATTATTGCGTTGCGCAATCGCGCAACAGCACGTCCATTAATTCCACAACCACACACGTGGATTAACATCGATTTAATACATTAATGTAGCCTTTGTTTCTGCTAAAAGAGGTGTCGACCAGCTGGGGCAACAAGAACATCGGGGAAATCGAGTGTGACTATTAAAAAATAAATCATTATTATATTAACATTGACAATAACAACCGACCGTCGGGGAGCGTTCTCATGGCGTCTATTATCAACGCTATGGGAGGTCTATGAAGGTCTATGGAACACCCTGCCCATTGAAAACTGACTCTCAAGGGGTACCCTGTCCGTAATAGAGAGACGGGGAGGGGCCCCTGACCGACCGTCAACATGTGACGGGGAGGGGCCCTGACCGACCGTCAACATGTGATGGGGAGGGGCCCTGACCGACCGTCAACATGTGACGGGGAGGGGCCCTGACCGTGCGTCAACATGTGACGGGGAGGGGCCCTGACCGTCCGTCAACATGTGACGGGTTGGGGCCCTGACCGACCGTCAACATGTGACGGGTTAGGGCCCTGACCGACCGTCAACATGTGACGGGGAGGGGCCCTGACCGACCGTCAACATGTGACGGGTTGGGAGTGAGAACGTGTTGTACAGAGAGACACTGAGAGATACTGAGAGACACCACTGAGAGACACTGAGAGACACTGAGAGACACTGAGAGACACAGAGAGACACTGAGAGACACTGAGAGACTCTGAGAGACACTGAGAGACACTGAGACACTGAGAGACACTGAGAGACACTGAGAGACACTGTGAGACTCTGAGAGACACTGAGAGACTCTGAGAGACACAGAGAAACCACTGAGAGACACCACTGAGAGACACCACTGAGAGACACCTCTGAGAGACTCTGAGAGACACTGAGAGACACCACTGAGAGACACCACTGAGAGACACTGAGAGACACCACTGAGAGACTCTGAGAGACACCACTGAGAGACACCATTGAGAGACTCTGAGAGACACTGAGAGACTCTGACAGACACTGAGAGACACCACTGAGAGACACCACTGAGAGACTCTGAGAGACACTGAGAGACACCACTGAGAGACACTGAGAGACACCACTGAGAGACACCACTGAGAGACACTGAGAGACACTGAGAGACACCACTGAGAGACACTGAGAGACACTGAGAGACACTGAGAGACACTGAGAGACACTGAGAGACACTGAGAGACACTGAGAGACACTGAGACACTGAGAGACTCTGAGAGACACTGAGAGACACTGAGAGACTCTGAGAGACACTGAGAGACACTGAGACACTGAGAGACACTGAGAGACACTGAGAGACACTGAGAGACACTGAGAGACACTGAGAGACTCTGAGAGACACAGAGAAACCACTGAGAGACACCACTGAGAGACACCACTGAGAGACACCTCTGAGAGACTCTGAGAGACACTGAGAGACACCACTGAGAGACTCTGAGAGACACTGAGAGACACCACTGAGAGACACCACTGAGAGACACTGAGAGACACCACTGAGAGACTCTGAGAGACACCACTGAGAGACACCACTGAGAGACTCTGAGAGACACTGAGAGACTCTGACAGACACTGAGAGACACCACTGAGAGACACCACTGAGAGACTCTGAGAGACACTGAGAGACACCACTGAGAGACACCACTGAGAGACACCACTGAGAGACACTGAGAGACACTGAGAGACACTGAGACACTGAGAGACACTGAGAGACACTGAGACACTGAGAGACACTGAGAGACACTGAGAGACACTGAGAGACACTGAGAGACACTGAGAGACACCACTGAGAGACGTTAACATTCGTTAGCTAGCTCCCGTGATTGCATAAGAATAGGGTGTCGTCTAAATTCAATGTTGGGTTTATTACACACACACACACACACACACACACACACACACACACACACACACACACACACCACACACACACACACACACACACACACACACACACACACACACAACACACACACACACCACACCACACACACACACACACACACACACAGTGATCATAGTTTTATTTATATTTTCAGACACATTTATATATATTTAATATATAATGTTTTCACAAGCATCACAAATATATATATTAAAATATAAGTATACAGAGCTAACAGCATGTATAAAAACAAATTAAAGTTAAAACACCTAGCCATAGCTAACTAGTTAGCATCATGCAGAGGAGCCGCACAGTTATTTAGATACGTTAGCCTACATTAGCGTACGTTAACATACATTAGCTAGCTCAGCACTATAGGCAGCTGTTGTTATTGTGTCTAAGTTTCATGTTTCTGTTTTTTTCTACAGATATGCAGAATGTATCTTTGCAAATAAGATTTCGTTTTAATTTTACTGTAATGTTTATTTTCTGACATATTTTTAAATGTTCTTTTAAAAACTGTACCGGCCAATAATAAGTGTGGATGGGATATCAGACGGGGGGGGGGGGTAGAAGAAGTTATAATAGCATATCAGGTATATCAAAAGGGGGGGGGGGTAATATAAGTGTGTGGGATATATACCTGTGTGCTCATATTTGTGTCTGAGGAGGGAACTGGTCTTCTGGAATGTTTTGTCGCAGAGCTCACAGGCGTACGTACCACTTTCTGTCTTCTTCAGCTTCCTGTCCGACACATCGTCCAGCAGGAAGTCCCCGTCAGGAAACTCCACCTGCACACACACACACACACACACACACACACACACACACACACACACACACACACACACACACACACACACACACACACACACACACACACACACACACACACACACACACACACACACACACACAGGCACGCACACACACACCCTTTAGTTCCTGATAATCCCACACCTGACTGCCCCCCCCTGATCCACAGTCTGGACAGAGCTTAAAGGTAAGTCCCTAAAAAAGGGGGGACATATGGGGGCGGGCTGGGGGGGGGTGGAGATGAAGGTGAACAACAGGTGTTTAAGGAGGTTGATCAACAACAACACGGTGTATCTGTGGGGGGGGGGGGGTCCCAGAGATACCCTCATATAGAGTCTCTCTTAATGAACCACACACTGAAGATCTGGTGAAACGAAACTTGTGTTCAGAAGAAACCTATATTGTGGCGTATGTTGGAACTTTAGTATTTGAAACATTTGTAAAATATAGTGTTTAAAGAGTTTGTTGGGGGTTGTTGGGACCCTTACACCACCCACCCTGATCTATGACCTCATCAGGGTCTCTGTGGGCCTCATGGTCTTCAGGGGTCGGATCAAATTTGGAGAATTGATTGAAATGTGATTTAAACATTTCCTTACATTAACTGAATGTATGTAATGTCAGTTTTCGCACGTACATGCGAGTAAACAACAGCAACCCGGACCGTGTACTTGAGACCCGGTTCTAACACTGATCTGTGAGGACACTATCTGAGATCTGGTTTACCTGGAACCCAGGTTTCCGTTGGTACTTCCTCCTCTGCTGGATGTCGTTGAAGGAGCTGAAGCTGTAGGCCATGTGGGGCAGGAAGCTCAGGGGGTCCAGACCTGGGTACGAGCTGAGGCCCGGGACCTGGGCCGCGGAGAGGAAGCTGGGCGGAGGGAACGCTCCGTGGGGGTGCAGCGAGGAGTAGACCGGGCCTCCGGAGAACAGGTTCATCCCGAACAGGGGACTGGAGCCCCCCTCCGAGACCTCCTTCTTGATGTGGACCAGGTCCTCACTGAACCCGTTGACCCGGGGCCTCTTGGACAGCAGCTTCTGGACCAGGTGTTTGGGCAGTGACAGGTCGAGGGGAGAGTCCCCAGGGGGGTCATCTGAGGCCAGGCTGTTGGGGGTGTAGGAGGTCTTTGAGGAGGTGGAGGACAGGTTGAGGGGGGAGGGAGTGTTGGTCCTCAGGGGGTCCAGAGAATCCCCCCCGGTCGGCCTGGAGGTCTTACTGAGTCTATGGGAAGCGTCTCCGTTAGTGAAGTGCATCATGGGGGACCGGCAGAGGTCTGGGGTCGGGGTCTTCCTCTTCAGACCCCCCCCCTGCTGGTTCTGGTTCCTCCACTGAGAGAACCACTCCCTCACAAAGTCCTGCGGGAGCCCCACAGCGAGGGAGATCTGGAGCAGCTGGTCTGGACTGGGATCGCTGTTTAGTGCAAAGTAGTTCCTCAGCAGAGAGACCAGGTCTTTGAAGGGGTGGGGGGGGCTGGTGGCAGTCTCGGTGGTGGACCCCTCGGGGGGGCTGCTATCCGGTTGCAGCACCGCCTGGATCTCCTGGTTCTTGCGGCACTGGTACCGCTCGTGCTGGTGCAGCGGAATGGGCCCTGGGAAGGCCTGCTTACAGAACTGACAGCAGAACAGGAAGTGGTTCTGCCCATCTGGATCCCGCCCCCCCAAGTGGCTGGGCTTCTCCTTCTTGAAGTTCATCTTGGACTCGATGAGGTTCCTGGCCTCGTTCACCTTCTGCAGCGTGAAGTCCATGATGGTCTTGGTGGGGCTGCCCCCCCCCTCCATCTGGGCCCCCAGCTCCTTCATGTAGGCCCGGACCTTCTGGACCTCCTCCGGGTTCCCGTCCACCTTCTGCCGGGTCACCGTGTTGTCCACGATCTGGAGCACCTTCTGGACCTCGCACAGGTTCCCCAGGCCCAGCAGGTCCAGCCCCCCCCGGCCCCCCAGGCCCAGCAGGGGGTTCTGGGAGGAGCTATGGACCCCCCCGTTCAAGTAGACCCCCGGACCCCCAAACCTGTGCTGGGCCATCAGGAGCCGGTACTCGTTGAAGTCCAGCGGCTCGGCCTTGATATCCGGCTGCTGGTCGGGGGGCTCCAAGGGCCCCCGATGCTCCAGGGGCCCCCGGGACTCCAGCTTGTGTCTCAGCTGAGCGAGGGCCGGGCTCCCCGGGGAGGAGGTGCTGGAGCTGGGGGAGGACCCGGGTCTGGATCCAGGTTTGGATCCGGTCCGCGAGATCAAGCCGATGCACTTCCTACTGCTGATGTGGGAGCTGTAGGACCCGGAGTGAGAGAACCTCTTCTTACAGTGAGAGCACTCGTAGGGTTTCTCCCCTGAAACAACAACAAATCAATCAATCAATCAATCAATCAATCGATCAATCAAAGTTACTGAGGAATAACTGAAGGAGGAGCAGATCTCCGATATATCATCTCTATATCGATGATATAATAATAGATGGATGATATCACCTTGAAGAGGTCTAGAGTCTGAGGAACTCACCACTGTGGATGCGCAGGTGCTCCTTCAGGTGATGCTTGTATTTGAAGGCTTTCCCACACTCGCTGCATTTGAACTTCCTGTTTCCTGCGGCCTCGCCGATCAGCGCCTGCACACACACTCTGATCAATACCTGCACACGCACTCTGATCAATACCTGCACACGCACTCTGATCAACACCTGCACACGCACTCTGATCAACACCTGCACACGCACTCTGATCAACACCTGCACACGCACTCTGATCAACACCTGCACACGCACTCTGATCAACACCTGCACACGCACTCTGATCAACACCAACCTGCACACGCACTCTGATCAACACCTGCACACGCACTCTGATCAACACCTGCACACGCACTCTGATCAACAGCTGCACACGCACTCTGATCAACACCTGCACACACACTCTGATCAACACCTGCACACGCACTCTGATCAACACCTGCACACGCACTCTGATCAACACCTGCACACGCACTCTGATCAACACCTGCACACGCACTCTGATCAACACCTGCACATGCACTCTGATCAACAGCTGCACACACACTCTGATCAACAGCTGCACACACACTCTGATCAACACTATGTCCGACCATGAGCTCTACGAACCCTTCCAATCAGGCTTCAGATCCAACCACAGCACAGAGACGGCCCTTATTAAAATAACCAATGACCTCCTCATAGCCGCCGATTCAGGCCTCGTCAGCATCCTTATCCTCCTGGACATCTCCGCCGCATTCGACACAGTCTCCCACACTATCCTACTCAACCGCCTATCCGTCTACCTTGGCCTCTCTGGTACAGCCCTCTCCTGGTTCCATTCCTACCTCTTCAACAGGCAACAGTTTGTGACCATCGGAAAATCCAGCTCTCCCCCAGCCCCTGTCAACCAAGGTGTGCCGCAAGGTTCAGTGCTCGGCCCCCTTCTATTCAACATCTACATGCTCCCCCTCGGTGAAATCCTCCGCCGACATGGTCTCAACTTCCACTCCTATGCCGACGACACCCAACTCTACATCAGTACCAATCCATCATCCCAGCTACCCCCACTGTCACTTGTCAACTGCCTCCGCGACATCCAAGCCTGGATGTCAAAAAATCTACTTAAACTCAACAATAACAAAACAGAGCTCATGGTTGTGGCCCCAAAAACACTGCTCCGGAAGGTTGGAAATCTGCTCCTCACCATCGATGGCGGCTCCATCCACCCTTCCCCTGAGGTTCGCAGCCTGGGCGTCACTCTGGACTCTAGCCTCACCTTCAACTCCCACATCAGGTCTACTGTCAAAACTGCTTTCTTTCACCTACGAAACATCTCCAGACTCCGGCCCTCTCTCCCCGACCCCGTTGCAGAAACATTAATTCATACCTTCATCTCTTCTCGTCTGGACTACTGCAATGGAGTTCTGTTCGGGGTCACCAGCAAAGCCCTGGACAGGCTCCAGTACGTCCAGAACTCTGCAGCCAGGCTCCTCACCCACACTAAGCCCTGGCAACACATCACCCCTACCCTCATCCACCTTCACTGGCTCCCGGTCAAGTCATGCATCCAGTACAAACTCCTCCTGCTAACTTACAAATCTCTCCACTCCCTAGCCCCTCCATACATCTCTGACCTCCTTCAGCCCTACACCCCCTCTCGTCACCTGCGGTCCTCTGACAAAGGGCTGCTCTCCATCCAGCGCTCCAAGCTGAAAACATTTGGCAACAGAGCCTTCCGTGTCGCAGCCCCCACCCTCTGGAATTCTCTCCCCTGTGCAATCAGGAATGCAGACACTCTGGACACCTTCAAAAAACACCTCAAACACCATCTGTTCACTCAGGCCTTTGGCCTCAACTAATATACAGTACTCAGCAACCTGTTCCTGTTTTTGTTTTCTTCAGCCTATGTATCTTTATTATTACTTTTTGTTTTGTTACTTCCCATTGTAAAGCGTCCTTGGGTTTCGTGAAAGGCGCTATATAAATTGAAATTATTATTATTATTATTATTAACACCTGCACACACACTCTGATCAACACCTGCACACACACTCTGATCAACACCTGCACATGCACTCTGATCAACACCTGCACACGCACTCTGATCAACACCTGCACACGCACTCTGATCAACACCTGCACACGCACTCTGATCAACACCTGCACACGCACTCTGATCAGCACCTGGATTACACTCATGGTGTATATCATTTAAAACATCTCTGAATATCTGTGATGAGACGGGTTTCTGAATATTGTGTCAAATGTGTTGAAATGTGAACGTGTTCTCTCTTTCTGTACACCTGTAAATAAACAATAACATTTCCTCCATCAGCCCGAAGAGGAGAGGAGCTCGTCTTTAGGGTGCTTAGTATTTAGAGGATGCATGGGGGGGACACATATCCAGCTGCAGTCCTTTGACTGGTACACTAAAACCCTGAACAACGTTATTATAATATATTGTACACATAGATCTGTATTTCATCTTAATGTCAGTTTTAAGGAGCAGACTTTATGATGCAACAGAATCTGAAGGAGCTTTACATAAACAGTCTACCAGCTGACAGCAGAGTGTGTGTGCAGAGTGTGTGTGCAGAGTGTGTGTGCAGAGTGTGTGTTTAACAGAGTAACTGCAGGACACAGATTAACAGGTGTTTATGGGATTACATCGTTTAAAGCCGCCTGGGGGGGGGGGGGGGCAGGTGACTGAGTCTCGTTATGGGGGGTAACTGGGTAATTGACTGAGAGCGTCTCGTTATCAGATTACTGATGATCACCCTAACTGTGAGTGTGTATGTGTGTACCTGCTCTGTGGTTGGTCAGTTGCTGGTCATGTGATGCTCCAGGTGTGTGTGTGTGTGTGTACCTGCTCTGTGGTTGGTCGGTGGTTGGTCATGTGACGCTCCAGGTGAGCTTGGTGGCTGAAGGTGTCGCTGCAGGTGGGGCAGGTGAAGCTCTCTCTCTCCTGGAGGCTCTCATGTCGGTACCTGATGTGTTCCTTCAGAGACGAGAGGCGCTTGTATCCTCGATTGCAGAACGGACAGGTGAGCATCGCCGAGAAGTCGTCCGCCGACCCTGAGAGGAGATCTGGGGGGGGATCAGTTTTTATTTAGATGGTTGTTGTTATTTACAGTTTTTATTTAGATCCGGGGGGTCCAAACCTTTTTCACCGAGGGCCACAGACAGAAAGATATACGAAGGGTTGGGCCGCTCACTAGAGGTTTTTCGCCTCGTAAGTTCAGTTATCAGTTGGAAAAATCAATCAAATGCAGTAAATGATGCTGTGAGCGTTATCAGCTGATTGATGATAACAAGGAGAAATATGAAGCGTGTATTTCAAGCTTGTTATGTGAACAGGTCTTTGGGCTTTTTTCTTATCAACTAAGATTTGATAGAAAATGTTTCCAACTTGAATTGAGTCAATTTATTTTAAATGTGGGCTTATTAACAAATGAATACTACTGTAGGGCTGTGCGATTATGGCAAAAATCATAATCACGATTATTTGGTCAATAATTGATATCACGATTATTTTGACGATTATTCATTGACCTATTTTACCAATAAACAAGATCAATAAATGTGTTGGAGCGCACTTCCAAAACCATACTAAACATATATTAATATGATAAATAAAAATAAATTAGACCAAAATAAATTAAATCAAATATGTTGCAGTGCACTGTCACAACCTACTGAAAACTCCTTAACATATAGCTAACATTTTGGTAAAACATATTCAACATATTCCACTCAGTTAAACGTTGAAGGCTGGCCAACCGTCATGGTCCAGAAGTAACAGGAAATAAATGTTGAACTACAATTTAAGACCAAATAAAAATGTTTAGGCCACCATGGCAAATGCTGGTAGGGCTGCTCATGTCATCTCTTAAAGATTTTTTTGCAAGAAATACCAGCCTGTTTACATGGTCTGGTTTCAGAGATGAGCGCAGGCAGGTGACAATATTGCCACCTGCACTGAAGACCCTCTCTGAAGAGGAACTTGTGGCAGTGCTGCCACATATGACACAGGAAAAAAAGAAAAGACTCTGAAGAACCCTTTCTTTGCCATTATATAAAAATAGTGTTGCTACAAAAGTATAAATTAGGCTTACTAATAAGACAACTCAGATCTGAAGCTACACAGTAATCTGCTGCAGCAACAGTGCAATAAAAAAGACAACATTAATAGAATCAAACCCATTTTTTGTTGCATTTTATTAGAGTATACAAATAAATGCCTTTAAAATAGGATGCAAGCAACACTAGTTTCTGAACTGATAGACTATAATCAATTTAAACAGAACAGATCTTAATGTTTGCATTCTTATACCATTTTGTACAATAATTATCATGAATAAATTCAAACAAACTAAAACTTACAGCAGATTAATAACGGTATCTAAATTGAGTTTTTATTATATCAAAAACCTGTTGAAATGCTGCTGTTATTTTTACTGTCCCACAAAAGTGCGTCGCAGCCTCCAGGAAAGCTTCTTTCACAACTTCGCCGTCTTCGAAAGACTTCATGTGTTTCGCAAGAACGTGACTGACACGATAAGATGCTCTGGTAGCAGCCTTGCTCTTGTTGTTGGGCCTGGTGGAAATGGACTGCTGTGCATTTAGCTGTGCTCTCAGGCCCCTCCCCTTTTGGAGCGTAGGGCAGAATTAGGAGGGAATTCCGTCTCGTAGCGTTTGTGCACTGTTTTGAAATGCCGCTCCTAAATTACCCTTCTTCGATAAAGCCACGCTCGCATTGCAGATGAGACAGACGGACTTTGAATTGGAATAGATACAAAAATAATGATCCTCCCACTTGGAGTGAAAATTATATATTTTGGGCTTTTTTGCTTCTGCCATAATTGCGGTCTTGTGTGTGTGCGGACTGTCACTCCTGTTGACCATCCATGCTGTTGACACGGACAACATCAGCGAACTAGTGCACTGCTCACCAGCCACGCCCGGACACATGGGGTGAGGCCGGCCAATCACAAAGCTTTGATGCGTTCAAGTGCATTATTCTGGCACGGGAACATTATGTTACAGGACATTAACGATAAAACAGAATATTGTTGTTCTATTTTTAGACACATCTCGCGATCGACTGGGAATCTCCCCGCGACCCTTCTTTTTAACTAGTTGCTGCTCTTGTTCTGACATCTTCGCTTGCGCTGAACACTCACAACACATGTCACTCCCACGTGGCCGAGTGGGCTTTTAGGGAGGGGCGAAAGCGCACCCAGCAAAATAATCATATTTTGTCAATTATGCTGTTTTCCTAATCGTCGCAAGTCATAATCGTAATCGCGATTAAAATACGATTAATTGCACAGCCCTATACTACTGTGTAATACATTTTTACATTTATATTTAAGAAGTACAATATAAGACAAGCACAAGTTTAATTTGAGAGCCATATTATATTATACTTTTTGAATTTGCTGAGGGCCGTCTCAAACTGGTCCACGAGCCGTATTTGGCCCCCGGGCCGTAGTTTGGACACCCTTGATTTAGATGGTTGCTGTTATTTACAGTTTTTATTTAGATGGTTGTTGTTATTTACAGTTTGTATTTAGATGGTTGTTGTTATTTACAGTTTGTATTTAGATGGTTGTTGTTATTTACAGTTTGTATTTAGATGGTTGTTGTTATTTACAGTTTTTATTTAGATGGTTGTTGTTATTTACAGTTTGTATTTAGATGGCTGTTGTTATTTACAGTTTTGATTTAGATGGTTGTTGTTTATTTAGATGGTTGTTGTTATTTACAGTTTGTATTTAGATGGTTGTTGTTATTTACAGTTTGTATTTAGATGGTTGTTGTTATTTACAGTTTGTATTTAGATGGTTGTTGTTATTTACAGTTGTATTTAGATGGTTGTTGTTATTTACAGTTTGTATTTAGATGGCTGTTGTTATTTACAGTTTTGATTTAGATGGTTGTTGTTTATTTAGATGGTTGTTGTTATTTACAGTTTGTATTTAGATGGTTGTTGTTATTTACAGTTTTATTTAGATGGTTGTTGTTATTACAGTTTTTATTTAGATTGTTGTTGTTATTTACACTTTGTATTTATATTGTTGTTGTTATTTACAGTTTGTATTTAGATGGTTGCTGTTATTTACAGTTTTTATTTAGATGGTTGTTGTTTATTTAGATGGTTGTTGTTATTTACAGTTTTTTCTTTTTTTCTTTAGATATTTATTGTTATTTACAGTTTTAATTTAGATGATTGTTGTTATTTACAGTTTTTATTTAGATGGTTGTTGTTATTTACAGTTTTTATTTAGATGGTTGTTGTTTATTTAGATGGTTGTTGTTATTTACAGTTTAAATGTTTTGTATTTAGATGGTTGTTGTTTATTTAGATTGTTGTTGTTATTTACACTTTGTATTTATATTGTTGTTGTTATTTACAGTTTGTATTTAGATGGTTGCTGTTATTTACAGTTTTAATTTAGATGGTTGTTGTTATTACAGTTTTTTATTTATTTTATTTATTTATTTATTGTTATTTACAGTTTTAATTTAGATGATTGTTGTTATTTACAGTTTTTATTTAGATGGTTGTTGTTTATTTAGATGGTTGTTGTTTATTTAGATGGTTGATGTTATTTACAGTTTTTATTTAGATGGTTGTTGTTTATTTAGATGGTTGTTGTTATTTACAGTTTAAATGCTTTGTATTTAGATGGTTGTTGTTTATTTAGATGGTTGTTGTTATTTACAGTTTTTATTTAGATGGTTCAAGGTTCTTTATTTTGTCATACGAACATAGCTACAGATTAGTCACAGGCTTCTCCAACACAATAACACAGATAAACAGAAACATATACTGCAAGTAAATATTACAAAGTAAATACAGAAAGTGAAATAGTGCAATAAGAGTCTATATGCAAGCTATTGGAATGATATATTAGATACATAAATAAATAATTACTACGTAGCAGATGAATGTTATGGATGTTGTTTCAACAGTTCAGGTGTTTAACAGTCGTATTTCCTGTGCCTCCACGTGAGGTCGGCACAGACCCTGGGGGTTTTTAATCAACACTTAAAACTCACTTTTTCTCTTTGGCTTTTGTTTAATTATCTATTTATTCATTTATTTAGTTATTTAGTTCTTTATTTATTCATTTAGTTCTTTACTTTAATATTTATAACATAACATAGGATTTCATAAAGTATTTTTAAAATAGTTTATACATTATTCGAATATAGGAATAGTAGATAGGATTACTTAAAATATAGTACCTTATATTTGATCTTTTTTCCCTTTAGACCCTTACCCTTACCCACCCCCCATTTCCCCTCTGCTGGTCTATGGCCTTGTAGAGGGTAACGGTCCCCTCTGCTGGTCTATGGCCTTGTAGAGGGTAACGGTCCCCTCTGCTGGTCTATAGCCTTGTAGAGGGTAATGGTCCCCTCTGCTGGTATATAGCCTTGTAGAGGGTAACGGTCCCCTCTGCTGGTCTATGGTCTTGTAGAGGGTAACGGTCCCCTCTGCTGGTCTATGGCCTTGTAGAGGGTAACGGTTCCCTCTGGTGGTCTATGGCCTTGTAGAGGGTAACGGCCCCCTCTGCTGGTCTATGGCCTTGTAGAGGGTAACGGTCCCCTCTGCTGGTCTATGGCCTTGTAGAGGGTAACGGTCCCCTCTGCTGGTCTATGGCCTTGTAGAGGGTAACGGCCCCCTCTGCTGGTCTATGGCCTTGTAGAGGGTAACGGTTCCCTCTGCTGGTCTATGGCCTTGTAGAGGGTAACGGTTCCCTCTGCTGGTCTATGGCCTTGTAGAGGGTAACGGTCCCCTCTGCTGGTCTATGGCCTTGTAGAGGGTAACGGTCCCCTCTGCTGGTCTATGGCCTTGTAGAGGGTAACGGTCCCCTCTGCTGGTCTATGGCCTTGTAGAGGGTAACGGTCCCCTCTGCTGGTCTATGGCCTTGTAGAGGGTAATGGTCCCCTCTGCTGGTATATGGCCTTGTAGAGGGTAACGGTCCCCTCTGCTGGTCTATGGCCTTGTAGAGGGTAACGGTCCCCTCTGCTGGTCTATGGTCTTGTAGAGGGTAACGGTAACCTCTGCTGGTCTATGG